GAGAAGCAGGCCGTGGACGTGGAGGAGTCGCCCTTTTCGGGGGCCGCGGATGCTGTGTCAGCTTCGGTGCCGCCCGGGATCAGTGTTTAGGCGGAGGTCATCGTCCCGCTCGTTGATCTCCACAAGCAGTTGGTGGTGTTTCCCGGCGGGCCTCATCGAGCTGTGGCGCCGCCCGTGCCACTTGCAGGGCCGCCGAAGCCGCTGACCCCCGAGCTGCACGTGGGCTCCGTGTTTGAGGGTTTCGCGGCGACGGCGGCGGCAATGGCGTCTTCGGCCCCGCCTGCACCTGCTCCGAGCCCAGCCGAGTGCAAGCAGTGTCGGAAACGCGAAGGCAGCGGAGGATGCTGCGCGGAATCCCTCATGTTTCCCTGGCTTCTGGTGCGGCCGCAAGTCTCGGCGCTCGGCATCGAGGTCGCGGTGCTCACGACGTTCAGTCTGTCAGGGTAGTGGAGTTCTTTGTTATGGCGTTGTCATTGGTCTCGTCTCGTCTCACCTCCTCGTCTTTTTTTGCGTTGAGCGGGCATCAACTGCTATGCTCGCTGCGTCCTACCTCCACCTCCTGCTCCTCCTGCTCCTACCTTCACCTCCTGCTCCTCCTGCTCCTCCTGCTCCTCCTGTTCCTCCTGCTGCTCCTGCTCCTGCTCCTGCTCCTGCTCCTGCTCCTGCTCCTGCTCCTGCTCCTGCTCTTGCTCCTCCTCCTCCTCCTCCTCCTCCATGCTCCTCAGAAAGCGGGCGGGCGGAGAGGCCCACCGCGGTCGCCTCGGGCGCGAAGAGGCACGAGCACACGCCCAGCCCATAGCTCTCCGCGCTGGGGCCGTCCGCGACGGCAGCCTCCAGCGCCTCGGGCTCGGCCCTGGACGACCTCCGGCCAGACTCCAAGGAGTGCCCCCCGTGGCAGGGGCGGCTTCTGGTGCGCGGCTCGCAGACTTGCGGGTATGCACCACCGCCACGTCGACTCCTTCTCCCTCCTCTGCCCTCCTCTTCCTCTCCTCTTTCCCGGGCGAGGGAGGGGGTGATGGAGGTGGTGGTGGTGGTGGTGTATGTGTTTGGGCCCCGTCAGACTGGCACCCTCGGATCCCCCAACAACAGCTGTGCAGCGCCCACGACGGGGGGTCCAAGACGGGCCACCGATATCGGGGGCCCTAGGCTCCCTCACCCGGGGTTGGCAGCACCACGCAGGACCCCTGCAGACCAGCTGCACATGGAAGAACGACATAAGCAAAAACCGCAGGTCCGCGCGGACTCCTTGGGTCGGCGCTGTGCCCCCCTGGCGGCGCCTCCGGCGCCGCCCCGGTCCAGCGCCGATCAAAGAACTCTAGGCTGCTCTCCGAAAGCTGCTGTCGTTGCCACCTCTCTTCCTTCACGAACGCTGCGTGCGGTGCGGCGGCAGCGGCCAGCGTCGCCTGGGCCTGCTCCCCCCCGCAAGGAGGAGGAGGAGGAGGAGGAGGAGGAGGAGGACGAGGAGGAGGAGGGGGAGGAGGAGGGGGAGGGGGAGGAGGAGGAGGAGGAGGAGGAGGAGGAGGAGGAGGAGGAGGAGGAGGGGAGGAGGAGGAGGAGGAGGAGTTACTCAAAGTACTCCCCAGCCGCAGTGGCCGTCGGCTGAGGCGATCCGCGGCCCCGCGGCCGCCCCCGCTCCGAGGGCCGCGTCCCTGAGGACCGCCCTCTCTCCCTGCGCGTCTTGCGGAGGCGCGGGGGGCCGTGGTGGTGCGGCCGCGGGCCGCCGCCGCTCAGAGGGCCGCGTCCCTGGGGACCGCCCTCTCTCCCCGCGCGTCAGGCTGAGGCGCGAGGAGCCTTGCGGGGTCCTCGAAGGTCAACGCGTTCCCCCTCCGAGATCCTCAACGCCCCGCGACGGACCCCCACGGCGCAAGCCATGGGCACTCGTCGCGGCATGCCTTCCAAGGATGGTGGCAGTACTCTGCTGCTGCGGCTTCTGCTTGGTCGTCAGCCTCCTTCTCGCAGCAACAGGGGCCGCGCCCCTGGGGACCACCCCTTCTCCCCGCGCGTCTGGTGGAGGCGCGGGGAGCAGTGGGATCAGGCTCGCACTCTGGCGCGACGTCGACCCGCCTCCGAGATCCTCGACACCCCGCGGCGGGCCCCCGCGGCGGTTACCGCAAGCACCCGACGCGGCATGCCTTCCAAGGAGGGCGGCAATACCAGACGTGTTGTTGTCGTAGCTCTGCTGGCTACCGCCGTGGTACTGTGCCTGCTTGATGTTCACGATAGGAGCGGTCAGCATCGGCGGGCGCGACTCTGCACGCTGACCTCCGCCAACCGCCCCCCCTGGCCGACGCAGGGAGTGGCCGTCCTCCCCCTCGGCCCCGTTGCACGCGACGGTTTGACTCCTGGAGTGGATATCGCGATCTCTGTCATGCCCGCAAAACTGCGGCGACGTCGCGCCTCGCGTTGCGAGGTCTTTCAACGAGGCATCCGGGCAAAACAATGGCGACGCGTCAAACAAGTCGGTGCTCAAATCCTGCCCCTGGTGGAGCGGCGTGGTGCGTGCCTGTTGGCTATGTTCCAAGCAACTGATGTCGTCGTCGTGTAAGCTGCGGTTGGGTGACTGGCGTCGGCAAAACGCGGGCGACTGATCGCCGAGCAGGTCTGTGCTCACAACTGCCCTCTGTTGAGGGGGTTGTGCTGCGTGCCTGCTGGCTGTTTTCCGGGCCGCGGTTGAATCATTGAACTTATTTTTCTTTCTCCGCCTCGTTGAGCCAGTGTTGTAGTTTGTACTTGATGCTGCTGTATCCATGTCGGTTCTTAGATTCTTTCCTCATGATGTCCGAGATGTACTCCGTTGCCGCGGCTCCACCTAGCCTGCAGAACCATATGGCTACAGCTCGGAGTAGTACAAGGGGGTGGCTTGGGTGTGCTGCTGCATCATGCTGTCTGACTTATGTGCCGTGTTTTGGAGGCTGCCCCTTGCGTCCCTCATGGAACCATTACTTTACGGCATCGTAGCTGTGTCTTTGCCTACCCTTTGCAAGCAGCACTTGCGCTGCCACCCCTTACCGCGTCTTGTCCTCGTCAAGTTGCGCGCGGCCCCCCTCCTTCCGATTGCACGAGCCTTTCTGTGGTGTAGTGTCTTCTCCGTCGTTGCTGCGCCTTTCTGTGCCTTTTCATGTCGAGTCTGGCTTCGCGTTCTTCTTTCTCTTCGGATGGGCGTCTATCGATGGCGTCGACGGTTGCTGCTGCTATTCTGCGTCGGACAAGTGCAACAGTAGCGCTGACCCAGTCGTAGCCTGCCATCTGTGCGTCGTCGATGCCGTGCTCTCTTGCTGCTGTCTCCGCCAGCTTATCCACTTGTCCGTTTCCGTGCCATGCGCGTAGTGGAAATCCTCGCGCTTGCGCCTCCTCCCACGTGAGGTGGCTGTTGATGTGGTGGGCTACTACTACTTCGTCGCCTCTGGTGCTACGTGTGCTGAGCTCCTTGCCAATAAGTGCCCAGGGGTCGCCGTTGGTGCCAACTTCTCGTTCGCGATGGTACCATTTGTTGCGCCATCCTTTGAATGCCAAATCGCTGGCCGTCCAATGGCGTAGTGGCCCCGCTGTGTGTCGTAGGCAGTCCAGTAGCGCCCAGAATTCTGCCCTGTTGCTGGTCTGCCGTCTGTGTGGTAGTGGGCCATAGCGTGCTGCAGCGACCTGGAAATCGTCGTTGTCGCCCGTTGGGGTAAGCCGTACCTGGGCCCAGCCGCGTCGCATCTCTAGTCCGCGCTGCGCTTGCCACCTGAGCCGTCGCCGCAAAACAACCATAGAGTGGTCATCTGGGGGTTGGATGCGGTCAGCATGGATCACCTCACCGATGTTGTTGGTCATCTCTGGCGTAGTGCATTTTGGCGGCACCGACCGAGCGCGTGGCGTGATGCCCCGACGCCAGAATGCAGGCGTGTCTCTGTAACCCGCCCCGCTTAGGTGCGAATCCTTTCTGTCTTCTCGGACAATGGGTCGTCGCTCTTGCAGTGGCATCGGCCCCATAAGTTGTGATAGTTGCTGTCCGTGGCCCCACATTCGCACGCGTCGCAACCGTGTCCGAATGTGTATTTCTCCCGTGGCCTTGTCCATGTACCTGCGCCAGCCGCCGTGAGAAGCCCGCCGTATTCACGATGTTTTCCTTGCTTGCGTAGCCAATCTAGGCCTCGTTTCAAGTCCGCCGTGTCTGCTCCGTGCTCCATGCCCTTCCCATTGTAGTGCTCCGCGGCCGCTTGCCACAACTGAAGTCGTACGTCGGCTGTGGTTACGTATAGGATGCCGGCGTGGTCGCCCAGTTCTCCGCCCCGCGGGAACTTCCAGTCGTTCTCGTCGCGGTCGATACAGTGCTCTGGCCAGCCCAGTTCCCAGAGCGCCAGAATGACGGATGCAATAGGGCCTTATCGTTGGGTCCATCTTCTGTTGGCTGGGACCCAGAGCATTCGGAAGTAGATCTTCGGCCGCGCGCGTCTTATCTGTGCTCGTAGGTCTGGGCTGCGCCCCCAGCAGTTGAACCAAGTGGCGAACTGCGCTTTTGCCACGGTGAAGGCCGGGTCGCGCCTTCCAAGTCCAAGTGCGTGGTAAAGCATCTTCCGGGCCATGGTCGTCGTAGTGCTTGTGCGTTTTTTGTCTCGCGCGTAGCATTGGGGCGGGGGCCAATCCGTGGAATGCCGTGCCGTACTTGCGCGAGGCCATGGTACTTTGCTGCGTGATGTTGGCCCTCGTCTTGGTTCTGAGTCTTTTCAGCTCCCTGCCCGCTGCTCCGAGTCTGCGTCGTGCTGCTTTGAGTCTGTTGGCGTGCGATTGTCTTCTGATTGTGCCTCGTGCTGCTCTGTCTGCTCCGAGGTCCCTTCCCTTTGTAATAGCCTTGAGGGGGATGCCTCAGAGCTGTAATTGTTTGTGGATCTGTTTGGTTTCGTTGTAGTGGGCCGACATGAGGGTAGTTCGTTCGCCAGCTTGAGTCCTTGCTCCTCCCGCGCGAGGAAGCTGTTGGGTGGTGCTGACTGTGGCTGACGCGATTTGGTCCCTGCTGCCGACGGTGCAATTGCTGATGTCGTCGAACCATGCTCGAGGTATGGGTCGCGGTAGTTGGCTTGTGCTTGTGAGCCTGGCCATGGCTGCGCACGCCACCGCACGTGCAATGTTATTTGCCTGTCGTGACCCAGCGAGGATGGAGCGGTCGGCATACATGGGGAGTGAGTATGACCCTTGTCGGCGCAATACTCTCGTAGCAGTGTGCTGCAGCATCATCAGGCGCAGCTGCCGTGCGGGGAACTGCATGTGTAGGGCTGCTGGTACGTCTTGTCGGTCCTGAGGCTGTCGTAGAACTTCTTTATGTCTGCCAACAATACAGTCTCGGTCATGTCGAAGGCGCTGGCGCATTCGTCCATGACCAGGCGCCTGGGCGCTTCCCTCAAGCAGCTGTTGCCAGCGATGGCCGCGTCCTGTTCCCTCTCGTGAGTCTTTGCCTAGCATCGAGCATGGTCTCGGCGTAAGATCTCCCAGCAACGAACTAGTTGAGGTAGGAAGGCCAGGGCTCGATCTCCCTTCGTGGACTTGGGAGTGATCATAGCGACTGATAGCAATGGTTGCCATGGCCACATAAGGTGTCGTTCGCATAAGCTGAAGAGGTCGATCACTGTTTGTCGCCCTGTCCGTGGTAGGCGTCGTAGGTCGCTGCGTTGTAGCATGGTAACTCCGTTGCCTTTGTCTGGTTCTCCTTCCAGGCATCTGTCCAAGTCCGCCACTGTCAAGGACGTGGGCAGTGGCTCTTGTTCCGCTCTCTCCTCGAGCTTGGCCAGGGTGTGGACGCGTTCGTGGCGTGGGACTTCTGGGCCGGGCCCTATGATATTGAAGTCTATAGCCTGGTCGTCAATATCATTGGGGCTGCATAGCACTTGATCGCCACCGGCCACCTCTTGTTCACGTCGTGGTGGTGCTGTCGTGATCTTGTTGAGCGTGCCCGTCGTCTTGGTGGCCATGGCGAGCCATGCGCAGTGCTCGCGGTTGCTTTGGCGCAGGTCGCGTCGTAGTGCTTCTCTCTTCTCCCCCCCCGCTTGAGCTGCCATGCCCCTGGGGACTTCCCGCGGGACCTGGTCTAGCTGCGCGAGCCTTTGTCGACGTCGGTCGCGATGGAAACGGGCAGCGTCGCTCGCCTGCTTCCCAAGCGGGGGAAGATCTTCTCGCGCGAATCGTCTACCTGCTGCGTGTAAGTATGGTTGCCGTCGCTGTCCGTGTCCTCATTGCTGGAGCATGACCATTGTCGCCAATGTATTCTCTGTCCTGCTCCGCCAATCCACTCGACGCGTCGCGAATCACATCCGTCGCCCCCCTTTCTCTTGAAGCGGTGCCGTCTTAAACTCGCAGTCTTCTCCGCGTCCTCCGAAGTTGTCACGGCCCCCGAGGGGCATCTTGTATGCGATGCAAAAGATTGTCTCCAGCGTGCCCATGGGGCGGTGCTAGTGCTTGCCCATTTGTCCTGCTCGAGTTGGGTCTGCGCGATGCGCAGCGCACTTCTGCGTGTAAGCAGGTGCCCGCCGACGGTTGTCGTGGGGCAGTGGCGCCGCCGTGCCCCAGGCGTTTCTTATAGTTGCTGCGTCAACTCCCTCGGCAAGCGCCGAGGTCCGACCTGCAATTGGTTGCTGTCGTCCATCCCCTCGAGGCGTCGCGCAGTCCAACGCGTCAGTCTCTGGATTCGGGTCGTTGGGAGTGGAGTCGAGGCCATTGCGGTCAGCCTCCGCCCTTTGAGCGTCGGGGGCCGCGCTGCTCCTCTCGTCCAAGTCGCGCGTGCACTGCGTCGGGTCGTGGGTGGGCATGTGGTCGTGCAGGTTGTCCTTGTCGATGTCTTCGAAGGGATCCGCCTCTGCGATGTCCATCGTGCTGCTCCCGTGGACCGCTGCTGCGGTTGGGCTGGCTGGGTCTCTACTTTCCTCCACCCCCCGTGTTGTTGAGGTGGGGGGTCTCGACCTGGCCGCCCGAGGTCGTCGCGTCGCGGGGGGGTGGGGGGGGGGGGGGGGGGGGGGGGGGGGGGGGGGGGGGGGGGTCGGGGGGGGGGGGGGTAGCAGTTCCATCCGCTAGTGCCCAGTGCCTCCCATCTCTCCGCGTCCGCTCTGTCGAGGCCGTAGGGTTCTATGTGCGCGTCTGGGTCGGGCATGGGCTTGGGCTTCTTCTTTGTGCTGCTCTTGCTGTTTGGGTTTGCCTTCTGTCGCTGAGGTCGTGGCGGAGGGGGGGCGCTTTCGGCGCGATCAGATTCCTGTGCTCGTTGTTGTCCAGGTCTGCTGCATCTGCGGTTGCCGGCCCGATGCGTGGCCTCCAGGTTGCATCGTGTACTTGTTGCATGCCTCGTGCCATCGCCTGTCCAGCTGAGTTGACCAGCGTGAAATCGACGTTGGTTGGTCTGCTGTCCCCCGGGACGCGCGCGTGCTGGTCGCCAGGCAAGGTCACGGCGCTAGCTGCGCCGAGGGCCGCTGGCCACCCTGTCTTCTCGAACTCGTTGCGCGCAGTGTTGAAGTCGCCGCAGGTGATCCAGGGCGTCGTGGCTGCGTTGGGGGAAGCCGCCCGCGCGGTCACCCCCCCGGCGTTGATGCCGCTCGTGGCGACGTGGCTCGGGCCTAGGTAGAGAGAGAGAGAGAGAGAGAGAGAGAGAGAGAGAGAGAGAGAGAGAGAGAGGAAGAGAGAGAGAGATAGAGAGAGAGAGAGAGAGTGAGGGGCGAAGTGCAGCGCGTGTGCTGGGTGACTGGTGTCCAGTCGTACATGCCGATGTCGTCTGGTGCCCGTCGAGCGTCTGCGGCCGTTGCGCTCGGGGCTGCGCTCCGACTTTCCCTGTGGCGCAACGAGGTAGCTGTGAGATGGCCCTTCGTCAGAACAGCTGCGCCCCCGCAGGTGCCGCTCTCGCAGCGCTCGCTCGCCCTCGCCGCCGCGCGCGCTGCCGAGAAGCCCGCCCTCTGCAGCGCGTGTTCTGTGGCGTCGAGGAGGCGTTGGCCAAGCTGGGTCTCCTGCAGCGCGCGCGTCGCGTGGTCGACGCGCGCCGTCGCGCCGCGACTGGCTCGAGGCCGCGGGTCCCCAGGTCGCGATGTTGGCGCTAAAGATGAGGCGGTCGCGGTGGGGGTCGCCGCCAAACTGCCCTCTCCCACCCCGCCATGACCTTCAGCGGTCTGCAGGGGCCTCTGCGGTAGAGGCCGCCGCTGCTCGTCGTTGCTGTAGGTGCGCCTCCGCCGCCGTCGCCTCATCCTGACTCTGGGGCTCGACCTCGTCATCTTTCGCAGGCGTCGCCATCTGGGGGGGCGCCGTCGAGCCCGCCGTGCAACTCTGCGTCGCCTGCTCTGCTTTCCTTTTCTTGGGCGCCTGGCTGATCTGCGTGCGCTCCGCTTCCGCCTGCTTCTTTGCCGCGATGAGGTGCTCCTTCAGCTGGCCTGCGAACGTCCTTGCGCCCAGCTGCAGCTGGGCGAGCACCTGCCTCTTGCATCCTCGACCGCCTTGCGGCTCGCCGCGCCCATGTCCTCGTCGCAGGCGAACTCCTGCTCGACCTCGGCGATCTGCACGTCACTGGGCGACAGCAGGTCCGTATCTGTGTCGAGCAGCTGCTCGAAGATGCTCTTCTGGTGCTGCTCCTTCGGCTTGCCCTCCTGCTGGATCGCCTCGATCTTGCTCTCCGCCGCCAGGACTGAGTCGGTTTGCTCTCGTAGGGTCTCACGAGCTCGCTCCGCCTTCTCCTCCGCCGTGCCCTTCTGTTCGGAGGCCCACTTTTACTTCGTGTTGGCGTCCTCGAGCTCCTTGGCAGCTTCTGCAAGCCTGTTGGCACGCGATCTGAGTGGTGTGTTCGGCGTCTTCTTCAGCGAGCTTGCCACATCAGCTAGCTGCTTGGCGATGGCGCCCCCGTTGGCCAGCTGCAGCGGACCTATGGACTTCGCGACCGTCTGCAGCGCGCTAGCGAGCTTGGCCATTCCAGTTTCGCCACCATTGCCCTTGCCGTTGCCCTTGCCCTTGTCCTTGCCGTAGCCTTTGTCCTTGCTGTTGCCCTTGCCCGCCTTGCCCACTGGGTCGGCACACCAGCTGCCGCCATTGGCACCACCTGCTTGTCGCTTGGGCCTCGCAGCTCTGCAACCACATGTGTACCAGTACTCCATCTTCTCGAGCTGCGAGCACCACCACCATGTCTTGCAGTGTTTGCAGGTCGTCCAGGTGGAAGGCGCCTCGCTGCCGTGGTGCATCTTGAGGATGTGTTCGGTCTTGACGTGCCGCATGGCTGCTGTCCTCTGCCGCCGCAGGCGGCGGTGCCAGGCAGGTGAGCGGCTCTCTCGCCCCGTCTCTGGGGCTGGACGTTCCTCGATTGCGGGAGGCCGCATCCGAAATCGCGGGCAAGGGGAAATGGCTGCGCCGCTCCGCCGAAGAACCACCTAGGAGGAGGAGGGGGAGGAGGAGGAGGAGGAGGAGGAGGAGGAGGAGGAGAAGGAACGCCCCCCGAGAGCCGCGCACCCAGAGGCCACTCGTGGTGAGGAAGGCTGCTCCTTTTTGCGCGCAACCAGGACCTGGCGGCCGAGGCCTGGACCTCCGGGGCGCGTGTCGCGGGGTCGTCGGTCGCGGGTCGCGGTTCCTCCTCGTCGTCCTCGTCTTCCTCGTCGTTACCCTCGTCGTCCTCGTCGTTGCCCCCGTCGTCGTCCTCGTCGTCCTCGTCGTCGTCATCCTCGTCGTCGGTGCTGTCGTCGCCCTCACCATCCGCCGTCGTCCTCGTCCTCGAGGATCGAGGTTTGCTTGGGCGCTTCTGGCACCTACGCAGGGCCTTCCGAGACGTCCTGGGCTCTCCAGGGCGGGGGAGTCGGAGCATCAGCTTGAGCGTCTAGCGGGCTCTCCTCTCCCAGCGCCGGGGGCGCCCCCGCACGCCGAGGAAGGCGCCCAGCGGCGGGGGCCGCCGAAACCCGCCGCATGCGGCGGATGTCGGCCCCCCGTCGTGGACGACGGCGACGAGCACGAGGACGAAGAACGACGACGAGGAAGGGGAGACTCCAATCACCCCCTTTCGTGCGGGCGTGGGTCTCTGGGCGCGGGGGCGGGCTCGTCGTGCGAGAGCCGGAGATCGAGGACCGAGGTTCGAAGATCGAGGGTCGAGAAACGAGGTTCGCTCTTCGGCGTTTCTGGCAACCCTAGCGGGCCTCCAGAGGCCTTCGGGGCTCTATGCGAGTCTCCAAAGACCTTCAGGAGGCCGTCACGTTCTTCATCTTCTTCTTCTGCTTCTTCGCCGCCGCCGCCGTCGTCTTCGTCGTCGTCGTTGTCGTCGTCGTCGTCGTCGTCGTCGTCGCCACCTTGTCGTCGTCGTCGTCGTCGTCGTCGTCGTCGTCGTCGTCGTCGTCCACCTCCTCCTCCTCCTCCTCCTCCTCCGTTCTCCGCGCTCTGTCCTCCGTCCTCCGTCCTCCTCCTCTTCCTCCTCCTCCGTCCTCCGTCCTCCTCCGTCCTCCGTCCTCCGTCCTCCTCCGTCCTCAGGCCTCCGTCCTCCTCTGTCCTCCGTCCCCCTCCTCCGTCCTCCTCCCCCCTCGGCCCAGGCATGGAGGGCCTGGCGCATCAGCACAAGGGCACCCTGCACGCCTGCCCTGGACCACACGCGGCTCTCGCTGCCCAGCAGCCCCTCCCACGCGATCTCGCTCTGCTCGCTGTCGCTGGCGCTGCCCTCGCCGCCGTCGGCGGCGGCCGCGGGCTCCTCGGGAGCGCGTGGGCCCCTCCGCGGCGACGGCGTCGACGTCGACGTCGACGTCGCCGACATCAGCGACGAGGAGCACATCGAAGCCATCGAGCACACCGACGACGTTGCCACGACGTGGACGAGACGGCGTCCGGCCTTTCCCGTCGACGTGCGGGGTGCAGGCTCCGCCCGGCCCTCCCCGCCGCGCCGTCGGCCTCTCCGCGACTACTCAACGCGAGTGCTCCTCTCGTCTCTCCCTTTCTCTCTCTCTCTCTCTCTTTTCTCTCCCCTGGTGCTGTCCTGGCTTGAGGAGGTTACATACAGCGCGCTGTCTTGTTTACCAGCAGGATGGGCCCCATTTGGCTGCTCTACTCTCTCTCTCTCTCTCAGCACACTCGAGCTGCTCAACTCTCTTTATGTTTTTTTTTTTTTTTTTTTTTTTTTTCTCTCTCTCTCTCTCTCTTTCTTTCTCTCTCTCTATCTCTCTCTCTCTCTTTCCCCTGGTGCTGTCCTGGTTAGAGGAGGTTGTTTTTCTTTCTGTCTTTCTTTCTTTCTCTCTCTCTCTCTCTCTCTCTCTATATATATATATATATATATATATATACATACACAGCGCACTGCGTTTTTTAGCCACAGGATGGGGCCGACTTGGCTGTCGGTGGCGTCTTTCGCAGCGTTCTCGGCCTTTCAACGCATGGATTTCCGCTGCAGCGTAGGCCACATTACAGGATTCACGCTTCGCTCCCGTCGCTCCGAATGGAGATCTCGCCCCAGCGCGGGCCACGGTTCTGGAATTGGTTCCTTCCTCGTCGTTGCTGCCCCCCTCCTTTCCCCTCCTCTGCCATCCCTTGGTTGTCTTGCTCCTCCCGCTCTTCGTACTCCTGCTCCTCCTGCTGCTACTGCTGCTCCTCCTCCTCCTCCCTCGTCTTCCCTCTCTTCTTCCTGCCAATCCTCCTGGACATCCGTCACCCCCTCTTCATCCTCGTCTTCGTCCGCCACTGATGTACACAAGTCCCCTCTTCTGACTGCGCATCACACGATGTGGTCATTTGGGGGGCCCAGATCCGCCTAGGCGCCCGTCGGCGGATAGCACAATTTCAGCGCAGTGGGAAGTGGTGGGAGGGGCAGGATGTCGGATGCGCGAGCGCAGGTAGCTTGTCCCTCACCGCTCTCTTGCCCCTTTTCTCCCCTCCCCTCCCCCCTCGTCCTCGTCCCTGCCTCTCCTCCCCTCGCCTCCTTTCTCGGATCGGGAGAACCGCTTGACACCGTATCGAACAAATAACAGCAAGGAGAGGCGCCAGGCTGGAGAGGCTCAACCGCAGCTGTGAGCACGCACGGGCCTCGGGTCAGAGAGAGAGAGAGAGAGAGAAAGAGAGAGAGAGAGAGAGATGGAGAGAGAAAGGTGCAAGTGCTCGTCCCCCTCCCACTTCTGGCCCCGCCTCACTCAAACACCGTAATTGAGTTCGGAGCATTGGCTTGTCACGGCCTCGGAGAGGCCCAGGCAAACCGCAGCGGAGGAGCTCTGGGTGGATGAGGAGGTCGGCGAGAAGGAGGATGAGGAGGATTATCGTGATGAGGGATAGGGGAAGGCTGAGGGCAACCAGTGACAAGCGGCAACCAGATCCTAGACGTGAGCGCATCGCGACCAAAAACCCCGTGCTTGTGCGGGACTTCCCAGGCTGGATCGATCCGTGAAGCCTCTTGGGGCCCGCCCAGCGCTGGGCGACAAGGCCGCCCGCGTTCTCTTGCTCTCCGCCGGTCCGAAGGCCCGGCTGGGCGCAGCTGCTCCGCGCCCTTCCTCTGCGCTCCCCCGCTGAGCTCGATCTGGGCTCGCTCTGGCCTGGGTCCGGGCAGCCACGGGGCTGGGCCACGCGCGCCCGACGCTCGCCGCCGCGTCGGCCTCGACCCCGGGGCCCCCATGAGGTCCGACAGCGGCAGAAGACGACCACGACCACGACCGATGGCGACGCTCATGGCGGCGGCGGCGGCGCACGCCGCACGACGAACGGACGATGACGCCGCCTCGCCGCCTCGCGGCGGGGGACTGGAGGCCCACGGGCGCGACGACCCGCCGCGAAATGCCGCTCGCTGGGCGCCTGGGGTGTCCGGGGGCGTTCGCGCCCCCCCCCCCCCCCCCCGCCCGCCCATCTCGGCGCCGGGCGGTCTCTGGCCCGCGACGCCGGCGACGGCGGCGACGATGGCGATGGCGGCGCGAAGGCGCCGAAGCCGGCGGCCTCGAGGGCGGCGGCGCGAAGGCGGCGAAGACGGCGGCCCCCTCCGCGTCCGCCGCTGGCCTCGTGGGCGGCTGCGGCGAGCGGCGGAGAGCGGCGGCGCTCCTCCGCGTCCGCCGCCTGTCCGTCGTCAGGCGCCCCGCCGTCCGCGGCGGCCCAGGCCTCGGCGGCGGCGGCCGCGCCGCCGCCGCCGCGTGGCGGCGGCGCGGGGGCAGACGCGCCGTCGGCACCGCCTGCTCCTCGGGCAGGGGGCGGCAGTTCTCCCGCCTCGCCGCTCTCGCGGGTCCTGGTCTCTCACTCCATATGTGTATGTGTGCGTGTGTGCGTGTGTGCGTGCGTCTCTGTCTCTCTCGCCCTTCATTTGTATATATCTATCTATATATATATATGTATGATTCACTCTCTCTCTCTCTCTATTGCTCTCTATTCATCTCTCTCTCTCTCTCTCTTTCTGCTCCCCTGACTCCTCTGTCTCTAAGTGTATGTATGTATGCATGCATCTATGTATGGATACAGGAATATGTGTATGCATGTATGCCTGTCTGTCTGTATGCAGGTATGCAGCTATTAATGTATGCATGGATGCATGTGTGAATGTATGTACGTATGTCTGTATGTATGTATGCCTGTATGTCGGTATGTCTGTCTGTACGTCTGTATGTATGTACGGATATGTTCGTATGTGTATGTGTATGTGTATGTGTATGGCTATGTATGTATGCATGCATGTATGCATGTATGTACGTATTTACACAGACGCGAACCACTGCGCTGCAATCATTGAGGCAACACGCATATGTTTATATGTAGACGTGCATACAAGTTTTATATTACATGCGCACTAGAACCACGCGCGCGCGCTTCGCGCGCGCTTGGGTTCTAGCCAGCTCCAGCCCGTGACAGTCTCGCAGTTGCGTGCACATGCGCACGCACACATGCAACGTCAGGAGCCACCCACAAGTTGTAGGGGTTTCTTGGGGGCCTCTCGGGGGCGTCTTGGGGGCTCTTCGAGCGTCTTAGGGGCTTTGTGGGGCGTCTTGGAGCCTCCTGGGGGCCTCTTGGGAGCGATCGTGCGGTCCCAGCAGCCCATCGGAGGCGACAAGGCGAGAAGGCGAAAGTCACTGATCTCCCTTTAGTTTTGGAGGGGTTGTGGCTTGTCGGAGGCGTTCTGGAAGGTCTCCTGGGGCCCTCAGGGGCTGTCTTGAGCGTCTCAGGAGGGGTCTTCCGGCTCCGGGCACTTCTGGGTACGCGGTCCCCTTCTTGGGCCTGTTTTGGAGCCGTCTTGGGGCCCTTTCAGGCCGTCTTGGGCATCTCAAGAAGTACGACCTTCCGGACACTTCTGAGTTCGCGTTCCTCTTCTTGGGCCTGTCTTGGAACCGTTTTGGGGCCCTCTCGTGCCGTCTTGGGCGTCTCAGGTATTGTCTTCGGGCCTCCTTGGGCCGTCTTGGGGCTCTCTTGGAGGCTTATTCATCTGTCTTCGAGCGGTCTTGGGGCCCTCTCGGGCCGTCAAAGAGCGTCGGGAAACTGAAAAGGCGAAAACTCGGAAAGCCTTCAAAAACCTCAGGAAAATCAGCGATTGTTGCCTCTTCGGGCGCTCTTGGGAAGCCTCTTGGGGGCCTCTTGGGCCCTCCAGGGAGCCTTTCAAGGTGGAAGCTCGGATTGTCGGTTCGGGTTACCCCTCCTGTGTCTTTATTGGGGCCGTCTTGGAACGCTCGCGGGCCGTCTTGGACGCCTCGGGCGCCGTTTCGGGGCCCTCTTGGGCCGTCTTGGGGCCTTCTTGATTGGGCTGTGTTGGAGCGGACATTGCGGGCCTCTCGGGCCGTCGTGGGGCGTCGGGAAAACCGTTTGAAAATCAGCGACTGTTGCCTCTTCGTGCGCTCTTGGGAGGCCTGTTGGAGGCTTCTTGCTTCTTGGGGCGTCTGAGCCTCTTGAAAATCTGGAGATAATTGTGGGACCATTTCTACCGTCATTGGTCGTTTGGGCAGTCCGGACGGGTGATTTCTGACAGTCCGGGGCTGTCTTCGGGCGATCTTATGAAGCACCTTTGGGGCCCCCGGCGTGCCAATTTGCGGTCGGGGTCGCGGCCCCGGGGTCCCCGGGTCCTGTTTCCCGTTGCGTGCAGCTCTGCTAATAGATAAACACCTATATACGTAGAAAACTGATCCGGCTAGACCTGCGTCCCGTTGGGGGCCGCCGGGTCCCGAGCGCGCCCAAAAGGCTCAAGACGGCCCCTGATGACTTCCAGAAGGCCCCGAGCTGGGCCAAGACGAGGGCTGCAAGACGCCCATGGCCCCAAGACGGTCCCAGAAGCCCCTTTCTCGCCCCAAGACACACCAAGAGGCCCCCCAAGGGAACCCCAAGAAACCTAAATCGCCAAATCCCTTTGTAAACCGTACATCAATTACTTCTCGCCTTCCCGGCGCTCCAAGACGGTCCAAGACGCCCCCCGGATTGCCCCCAGACGGCCCAACAGGCACCCAAGAGGCCCCCACGACGGCCCAAGAGGGCCCCAAGACGGCCCAAGAGGATGCAACCTACGCAATGCAGTCTACGCGGTCCAATCTATGCGGTGCACTCCACTCGGCTGAACTTGAAGTCGTCATCTCCACTGCTCGCGCAAATATGCCACCCTCCCAACCGCAACTTGCTTGGCAAAACTCATGATGCGGGGGGCGGCGGCGCCACCGATGACATCGATGATAACATCCTCACTGCCGATGCTCTTCACCGCGAGTCGATGATGAAGGGGAGCATGTCGACGATACTCGGACGTGCGCTGTAACAATTTGACGTCGGCAGCGTCTGCGACAATGACGAAGATGGCACCAGCGACGACGATGTTCAAGAGGGCAACGGCACGAACGATAGCGGCGCCAATAATGGCAAACACGCTGACGATGCTGATGTCCATTTGTCGATGAGGCAGGTGATCGTGGTGATGCTGACAAGGTTGAAAAGGAAATCCGCGCGCGCGGAAGTTCAACAAATCCGTCAGACTGATCATGCGCGCGCGGCGGTGCGCGCATGTGGCCCGCGTGGTATTTGTTGCAAGGGATTCGCGCCCCCGGCGCACGACAGGAGTATCGCGGGTGCACCGCGCGGTGACATGAAATCGCTGGAGCTGGCAGAATTCATAAGAATCCGATGGTTTTTGAATGATTTTAGCATGAGCGCGCGGACAGGAAATATGCAACATTTGTGTTGCAAAACCCTAGCTGTTTCTTTTTAGGCTGTTATGCTGCAGCGCTTGCAAACACGTTGTGTTTGGTACGAGTTTGGCATGGCCGCGCGCGAGAGGACTTCGTGGAACTGTTTGGTGTAAGGTATATTGGAACATGCTTTTTTTCAGATGAAGAAGTGCGCGCGCATAGTATGCTTTGTCAGGGATGGCGGGGGGGCGATACTGGCCTGGCTGGGATAGTATGAATTTGTATTTCGGATGGGCGAATGTGCAGAATAAAGACAAAACTTACAATACCCCAGGGAGGACCGTTAACTCTGGGGGGGGGGGGGGTAGAGTCTATTCTTCTTATAGAAAGGAGAATCTAGGTGGTGCCCAAGACGGCCCCAACACGGCCCCCGAGAGGCACCAAGCTCCCCCACAAAGGCCTCCAACAGGCCCCAGCTCCCCAGAAGGCGCAAACAAATACCTCAAGCGACGCCAAAACAGCCTCCAATAGGGGTCGAAACTGCTTCCACAAAACACCCTGCAAGCCTCTTGGGCCCTCTGGATTAGTACGGCGACGGTCAGAGAATATATAGGTGTGTATATTATTATTATTAGTATTAGTATTATTATTAATATTATTATTATATATGTATATATATATATATATGCACACCCATATAAAGAGCTGTGTTGGAGTCCTGTTGGGCTGACCTGGAGCAGTCATGTGGGGGTCTCTCGGGCGGTTTTGGCGCGGTCTTGAAGCATTCCCGGGTACGCTCGTAGCGTCGCAAGCTCGAGAAGGCGAATCATCCAAACACATAGGAAAAAAACAATGAACAAATAACTTCTGCGCCTGTTGGAGCCATCTGGTGCAGGGTCTTGGAACTTTGTAGGAGCGGCTTCAAGGCGTCTGGAGGCGTCGCTGCGGCCTCCCTGCAGCTTCTGGGGGCCTCTGAAGGCCCTGGGTCGCCAAACCCCTGTAAAAACACATGGGAAATGACACCTTGCACCCCCATTTGTGGTAGAGGCCGCGGCCCCGGGGGCCCGGGCCGCAGTGCGCCGTTATATGTATATGTGCATCAGTGTATACTCTTGATACAAACATACATGCGGCATGCGCATCCATCTTTCTCTCTCTCTCTCTCTTTCTGTCTCTTTCTCTGCACCGCCCCGGGCAGTTGCGGATAACAATCCGGGGGCGGGGGAATCGTCGGCAGCTTGCGGGGCTCGAACGCACTTGTGCAAGCTGGCCGCAGGCGCCGAAGTTTTGTCACAGGGCACCGACGTTGTGTCGTACCACAGGCGCCGACGTTTTGTCAAAACAGTGCGGGTGGGTGGCGAATGCATCTATGGCGGGTCGGCGTGCGATCCGCGCTGCGAATCGCGGGTGGGCCGCGGGTGGGTCGCGGGGTGGCTGCGAGGCGGGGCCGACAAGAAGAAGACCCATACGACAAATTGGCACAGGGAGACTCACAAAACGAAACATAGCACTATACGCGTAAGACGCAATATGCAAAAAATGCTAAGAACAAGAAGACGCACAATACAACGATCAAACCTAATAATACCAATATTAACAGCAATAATACTATGATCAAAAAGAAGACGCACCATAAAACAAATGCTCAGAACAAGAAGGGCAGGAGTCCGCACCGCGGAACCACCCTTTGGCCACGCACGAGCCGCGGCACGCGCGGGCCGCAGCAGCCGCATTTGGCAGAGTGGTCCAGTGCCTGGCGCGTCGGTGAACGCGCCGAAGATGAGCCCAAGCCCTGGCTCACGGAAACGTGCGGTACTATTCCTGGCGGCGCGCACAAGGGGGTAGGGGGAGGGCCTTCCCCCTGGCCTTCTAAGAAGCAGGGGTGCTTCTAAGAAGCCCCCCCCCCGCCCCCCACCCCCCTCTGCGCGTGGCTACGGTGGGGGCATTGGACAAGGAAACCTTCGATAAGGAATCCAGGGTAGGAAGGCCAGTGGAACTCCAATCGAGGCTTGGCCCCGGATATCACTGCCGCCCTCATCAGATAAGGAACCCTACAGAGTCTGCAGCCCCCTGGGCACATTCCTTAACGCACGCCCCCGCCGTATTCTCCCATTTGAGCAGGCTTGGCCAGGAAGGCATATGCACCGCTCCTGGGCCCAGGATGGGCCTGGCCAGGAGCAGTGGATATATATATATATATATATATATATATATAGATCTCGTCGCCCTAGGCCGAGCATTGACTCCATCGGACTGCATGCCTACCCGGTGTGCTCACCGTCGGCGCCCTCTCCGCCCGACGCGGACGGTCTGGGCCAATGCCCCCACCGTATTCCCCCACGCTCCCTCAAGGCGGTCGCCACGCGTTTCAGGAAACGCACGGGCAGGGAAGCCGAACGGCGGCACCCTGGCTTGCTCGACGCCGCCTCGGGCGAGGGCGAGACGGCAGTGCAGCCGGTGTTGGAAGCGGTCGAACGCACCCTGGCGTTGCCTGAGCAGGTTGGCCGCACTGTGGTGCTGCTCCTGCCCGAGTCAACCACCGAAGGCCGCGCCGTCGGGCTCCTGGCCACCCTGGTCCCTATCTGCGCGAATGGTGCCGCGACCATCCCAATGACCAGGATCGGACCGCGGAAGGCCGCGGGCCGGAAGCAGCAGCAGTGGAGGCGCTGGTGGGCGCGAGGCGGTCGAGGCAGACGTCCTCGTCTTCCTCCCGCTCTTCCTGCTGCTTGTTGCTGTTCCACCTCGTCCTCTTCCTTCCTCGTCCCCCTCCTCTTCCTCCTGCTCGTCCTCCCGCTCATCCGCCTGCTCCTCCTCCAATGGACACACCTCCCCTGTTCCAATTGCGCAGAACACGGTGGGGTCCTTTGGGGAGGCCCACGTCTGCTCCGACACGTCGGCGGATGGCGACACTGTCCACGCAGTGGGAAGGGACAGTAGCAAGGGTTCGGATGCCAGACGTGGCGCGAGCATGCCTGGCTTGCCCACTCTTCCCCTCTCCCGCTCCCCCTCCATCTCTCTTCCCATCATTCCCCTCCCCTCCCCCTATGATCCTCTCCCCTCCTGCCTCTCCTTCATCCCTTCCCGTACCGGATCGAATTGGACCCTGGGGGGTTATGCTTCCAGCCGCCCTTCCTCTGGCTGGGGCCTCGCGCGCGTACTGCTTCAGCTCATCCGGCATCCATCGGGAGGTGAGGTCCCAAAGCGGCACGGAGTACCTCCAAACGCTCTCCCCCTTCTCCTCGCCCCTCGCCTCCTCCCTGATTCCCCTCGCCCGCCATCTCCTCCTCTCCTCCTGCCTGTCCTGCCCCTTTTTCTTCTCCTCCCCGTCTCCGCCTGCCCCTCCTTGTCCTCCTCGTCGTCGTCGTCAGCCTCCCCCCGAACGTGTATGCTTGATGCGATTGCTCGTTCTTCGCCTCCATCCCTTTTCCCCTCCCTTGTCCCTCCTCCCTACTCCCCTCCTCCCTTCCTCCTCCTCCCTCCTCCTCCTCCTCCTCCTCCTCCTCCTCCTCCTCCTCCTCCTCCTCCTCCTCCTCCTCCTCCCTCCTCCTCCTCTTCCTCCCTCCTCCTCCCCCTCATTCCTCCTCCCCCTCATTCCTCCTCCCCCCCTCCTTCATCCTCCCCCTCCTTCCTCCTCCTCCTCCTCTCCTCCTCCTGCCTCCTCCTCCTCCTCCCCTCCTCCTCCCTCCTCCTCCTCCTCCTCCTCCTCCTCCCTCCTCCTCCCTTCCTGCCCCTCCTCTTCTCCTCCCTATACTCCCCCCCCCCTCCTCCCCCTCCCTCCCCTCCTCCCCCTCCCGCCTTCCCCTCTCCCCCTCGTCCTCTCCTCCCTGGCCACCCCCCTCCTCCTCCTCCTCTCCTCCCTTCCCCTCCTCCCTGGGCCTCCCCCCCCCCCCTGGCGGGAGGAGCACACGCCCGCGCCGCGGACGAAGTACCGGGCCCGGCAGAAGATCGGGAGCCCGGCGGCGGACGCGCCGTCGCCCCCTCTGCCTCTCCGGCCAGGGAGGAGCCGAGCACGCTCCTGGTCCCGCCCCTGCTCGTGTGCCTCCCGCTCCTGATCCTCCTCCTCCTCCTCCTCCTCCTCGTGTGCCTTCCCCTTCCCACTCCCTCCTCTTCCTCCTCTTCCTCCTCCTCCTCCTCCTCCTCCACTTGTGCCTCCCCCTTCCCCATTTCTTCCTCCTCCTCTTCCTCCTCCTCCTACTCCTCCTCCTCCGCCACCTCCTCCCTCCACTCCTCGTTCTCATTTTACCTCCTCCTCCTCCTCTCCTCCTCCTCCCCTCCCACCTCCGCGCTCCACCGCGTCCATCATCATCATCATAATCATCATCCATCATCATCATCATCATCATCATCATCATCATCATCATCATCATCATCATCATCATCATCATCATCATCATCATCGTCATCCTCCTCATCATCATCATCATCATCATCATCATCCTCATCATCATCAGCATCATCATCAACCTCATCAGCGTCAGCATCATCACCAACATCATCATCAGCATCATCAGCATCATCATCAGCATCACCATCAACATCACCATCATCATCACTATCATCAGCAGCACCATCATGAGCAGCAGCAGCATCATCGTCATTGGTCACTGTCATCATCACCATCATCATCAACACCATCATCGTCATCATCATCATCATCATCATCGTCATTATCAGCATCACCACCACCATCGCCATCATTATCATCATCAGCATCATCATCACCATCATCATCATCATCATCATCCTCGTCGTCGTCGTCGTCATAATTTCCCATCACCATCACCATTACACGTCGTTGATTTCTAATCGTGCTCATTTCTAATCGTGCTCGTTTCTAATTGTTCCTGGCCCCCTAGTGGCCAGGAAGAGGCCCAGGATAGAACAATTAGAAATGAAAGGATCTTGGCCCCCAAAAAATCAAAGAACTTTCGAAGACTTAGAAATGAACAACGTGTGCCAATACCATCACCATCACCATCACCATCATCGGCATCATCAGCACCAACACCACCATCACCACCATCATCATTATCCTCGTCGTCGTCATCATCGTCGTCATCATCACCATTGGGTACCATTACCAATACCATCACCATCACCATCACCGTCACCATCATCATCATCATCAGCAGCAGCAGCAGCAGCATCGTCCTCATCATCGTCATCATCATCATCATCATCACCACCATCACCATCGCCATCATTATAATCATCATCATCACCCTCACTATCGTTGTTACCGTCGTCACCAGCATCAGCAACATCATCACCATCAGCATCACCATCATCACGCTCATCATCATCAGCATCAGCATCATCAAGAGCATCAGCATCGTCACCATCAGCATCAACAACATCAGCATGACCATCACCATCACCACCACCACCATCATCATCATCATCATCATCATCATCATCATCATCATCACCATCACCATCATCATCATCATCATCATCATCATCACCCTCATCATTATCATCACCATCATCACCATCACCATCACCATCATAGCCGTCACCATCGCCACCATCGTCACCACCATCATCATCAGCATCATCATCAGCATCACCATCACCATCATCATCATCAGCATCATCATCAGTAGCATCATCATCATAACCACCCCCACGATCACCATCACACCTTCTCACTCCCATGCGATCCTCCTCCTCCTCCTCCTCCACCTCTTCCTCGTCGTCTTCGCTTACTCTTCCTCTTCTCCTCTTCTTCCGCCCCATTCAAGCCTTCAATATGTGGGCCGTGACAACTTGCGCTCTTCCTCCTCCTACTCCTCCTCCTCCTCCTGATCGTCCTCACCTCATCCCTCCTTCTCCTCCTCCTCCTCCTCCTCCTCCTCCTCATCCCTCCTCCTCCTCCTCCTGAATAGATCTTGAGATGTGCATCTTGGGTTTCTCTGCAGAGCAGGAGTGGGCCGTCCGTTCCCATCATGGCTCAAGCTCGTCATGCGGCCGAGCCCCAGTGTCACGGCCGCGATAGCTTGGCTGGCAGCTTGGGTGACGCACTCGGGGGTGGATCGGGCCTGGCGAGTGGAGGTGACAGCCTGCCCGCGATGCCCCGATCTGCACTACGCCGAGGCGCCCGCGTGTCCAGACCTGCACTGTGCGGAGGCGGCCGCCTGCCCCTTGCTGCAGTGCCCTGCGGCGGCGGCGCCGCCCTGCCCCGCGGTGATGTCTCCGCCGGGGCCCGCCTCCCCTCCCGAGGCCTCCAGCGAGGCCCGCAGGGAGGACAGCGGCCCAGAGGCCGCACGGCGCCGGCGGCCCCCCCCCCCCTCACGAGGTGGGGAGCGTGGCGGCGGCGGCGGCGCGCGGCAGCTGGGACGGCCTGGGCTGGTGGCTTGGGCTCGCTCTGGATCTGCTCGGAGGAGCCACGGGCGTCGCCGTGCACGCTCTGCTTGTCGGGATCGTCTTCTTCGCGAAGGCGTGCTGGCACGTGCTGCTGAACTCGGTCCGTCCACGGACGCCTACGTTGACGGATGGCACAGCAAGGCGTGCAAGCGTGGGCGTGGGTGCAGTACGCCGGAGCAGGCCTCTTCCACCAGCGCCTGGTCCTAGGGGTCTTGGCGGGTTCTCCAGCGGCAGCGATTGACGTGGTGATAGCGACTCCTGATGCGGACGTGTACTGCGAGACGTATGGTGGACGGATGCCAACATCGCGGCGGTCCGCTGGAGCGAGAGCCAACGCCCTCCGCCGCCTGGTTTGCCTCGCGACTCGTATCGCTTCTGCCGAGAGCCGACGCCCGCGGAGATGCTAGAGTTCGGGAGGCAGGGTCGTCTCGCTGCTCGTGACGAGTTCGTGGCGCGGGATCGCCGCCACGGCGGGCCTGGCGTGGAGTCCGCTGGAGGCGCGCTGCTGCCGCTGGCCGCCGACCCCACGCGTGCGCCGCTGGCGGCGCCCCGCTTCCCTGGGCAGGGGGAGGGGTTGGGGCGGCCCATCGGCGGGGGCGAGGTGCTCGGCGCCGTGGGGCGGGGAGGAGGCGCTGCTGGAGCTGGAGGCGGGCCGCCCGCTGCCGGCGCCGGCGGTGCTGCGACGGCGGGGGGGCCCCCGCCGGTGCTGCCTCACGGCGATGAGCCGGTATGGGTCGTGACGGAGTCGCTCCACGGGCTGCAGAGGGGGATGGTCGTGTTCCCCGGCGCGGGCATGCCGACGCTCGGGGACGCTGGGCTCTACCAGTTGCCTGGTGCCAGCCCCGGCCCCTGGGCTCCCGCGGTGACCCCGGTGCGGCGGATGCTGTTCAAAGATGTAGACACCTTCGTGCGTGCCGAGTCGGTGGAGCTCGTGGGCGATCGCAGGCAGCGCCAGCCCTGGAGGCAGCTTGTCGAGCTCGGCGTGGTCACCCCTTTCCACGACTGGCCTGTGCAGGGACCCCGTACCGTGGAGTGGGTGATGAGGTTCCTCGACAGGCGCGGAGGCGGACCTGGGGATCATCATGCTTGGTGGCGTCAGGTGAATCGTCTTCAGCGTGGCGACTGGGGCGTGGAGGTCCGTGAGAACGGGCTTCGAGCGCTTGAGATGGCGGTAAGCTACGACGCCTTGGAAATCGCCAACTGCGCCTGCCTGGAGATCATAGCTCGGAGTGCCAGCTGGTGGAGTACGCGTACTCCCGCGAGCCGCTGGGAGCCGCGGCCTCGGGCAGCGGCGAGAAGGACAAGAAGAACCGCGGCAAGGGCCGCGGCCGCGCTGGATTGCTGGAGGACAGCGACGTGTTCATGGGCCGCCATCACGAGGCGGACGAGACGATGGCCTCGCCAGAGCTGCTGGACTTCGTCGCTCGCGAGCTGAAACGAGATGCCAGTGTCATGAAGCAAGTGCGGAACGTGCGGGAAGAACGCCGCGCCCTTGGCAATGGCGCATGACGGACCCCCGTCGGGCTTCAAGCCCGGGCTCGACGGGCATCGCAAGGCTGAATCCACTCGTGGCGATGGAGTTCCTCACCCTCGCCAGCGGGACCTTTTTCCTCTTCCCCTTCTTCGGGGTGCTCAACCTCGAGCCGGGCCTCCTCGCACTGCTTGTCGCGCTACCCAGAGAAGAGCTCACCGTCAGGCTGCCGTCGACGCCGCCGCGGATGAGCTCATCAGCACCCTGAATGATATGTGCGAGGCGCCGCGTCGTGGGTCTCCCCGCGACGCTTCGAGGCCAACGTTGGCGCAAAGACTTGCTCTGGACCATCTGCGCCAACGCGTTGCAGATACAGGGCCGCCACCTGACGACAGCGATGGACCAGGAGCCTTCGACGAGCTTCGGTCCAAGCTGGCTTATGATGGTTCATCCTCTCGGCTGGCCCCTCTTCGCGTGGGCCTCCTGGACTTGCCTCCCCCTGGCTTCCTACCCGTGTCGTTGCGAGAGGCTGCATGTCCTGCAGGCGAGCTGATCGAGAAGAGGATCTTAGTTAAGGTGCTTCCCGGTGTGGAGGGAGAGGCAAAGTTGAAGCTCCTGGGCTTGCGTCGGGCCTATACCAACCCCGCTCTGAGGAGCCGCAAGGTGGACATAGAGTCATTGAGTCGGATGCATCCCGCCAACCTTCTTGACTTTCGGCACAATTTTTTAAGACGCCGAGTGGGCTGCTTCAGTGTCTGGAAGAAGTCGGGTGCCCAGCGCCTCGTCATAGATGCGCGCATCCCGAACTGCTTCTTCGAGGATCCCGATCTCATGGCAGCTCGCGAGTGGCGCCTGCTTTGCCAACCTGCAGCTGGGCGCGGGGCCCCCGCGGGTGCTGGGGGGCGCCGACATCCGCGTGGCCTTCTACGCGATCTCCATACCGCGCGAGCTGCGTGACCTCTTCGGGTTCGACAGGATCTGCGCTTGGGAGCTGGGCGTGACGGAGGTCGAGGGCCAGCCCGTCAAGTCCGGATACTACATCCACCCCGTCATCGCGGTGCTGCCGATGGGGTGGGCGCTGGCCCTGCAGGCCTGTCAGGCGCTGCACGAGGAGCTGGCGCGAAGGGAGCCCGACGTGTCGGTGGAC